AGTATTAACAAATTCTTATTACCACGTCATCTATCAAAACCTAGAAAGTATATTTAAATGTAATAGCAGGTTTCTAATTCCTAATCCACTTTGGTTTCAATGATGCACAAATGAAGAAAACAAACATTTCGCGAATTACGTCACAGAGTGACTTTCATGTCAAACCACTGTTTTGTGAAATACTGAAAATATTGACTGAAACAACAGGCGACAACTAAAAAGCAGCTTCAAAAACAAACAGATAAAAATTGTCCTTAAACAAATCAAGCTCTAGCACTCTCCTAAGTTTTAATTTAAGCATAGTTTCAAATGCATTTATAATTAGCATAGAAGTGTATATTTTGGCATTCCATCAGGTCTCCTGCAAACAGTAACCCAATCTTTTATACAACGATCACATGTTTATATCATGGTCAATCTATGGCCAAAGATCTGTTGCTATGTTTTCATAAGACCGGGTTCTTTCAATTTTTGAAGTAGCATGTTCTTTTAAACATGGAACAAAGCAAGTAGAGTTGTTTTCATGTGATTCTTTGTTAAAATGAACTATGGGCTACATATATCTGCACTATAAACTAATTAGCCACAATAATATTCTAACGAGGAAACCCATTCTAATGCAAATTACGGTGAGATAGCTCGGACATTACAAACATTGAATTTACAAACGAATACCAGAGATGAAACAGAGCTTGTCTTAATGCGATTTCCACCAAAAAAATTAGCAGATCAACCACTGAGTTGTTTTGTTCCCAAAAAAGAAAATGTCAGTGATGTCATGAGTAAATTCCTGGTGTTCAACGACCTTTGCCGAGCACAAAAAAACAAGAATGAACTTGTATACACAACAGAAGTACACAAGTGAATTCGGATAAGTTAGTCACTAATAACATCATTAGCGTACCCAATTATTATTAACACCCTGCAAATACACACTTACCTTCTTTTTAATTCTTTTGCTTCCACTGCGAGCAAGGGTTCCAGCTTTCAGATTCGACTCGTCGAGTTGAACGGTTGAGCCATCGAGACCGCTTCTCACGCTCAATTCCGATAGCTCCGGCACAGGAATGACTTTGATAACGACCTCCTCTCCCGACATAGCTATCATCTCGATTATTCTCTCCCTCGGTTCGTTCTCCACATTGACTCCATTAACTTCCACAAGGCGATCGCCAGGGAGCAATCCCCCACTGCCATTTGTACCGACGGGTTCGACAAAGTGCACAGTTTTCCCGCTACCTGGAGCGTTGGCTCGCCTCAGAGCAAACCCAAAATCGCCACTTGATCGCCTATTCAGCTTTATAACCCTAGCGACTCCCGAAATAGCAGGCTGAACTTCCGGTAGTTTCAAATCAACTCCCATCTCCTCTAGAGTCTTCTCTGATGGAGAGAGAAGCGACTCTGACGACCTGCTCACATCTCGCGGCGGCAAAACTATTTTCGGCTCGCCGAGATCAAGGGGTGCCTCAGTGAAAGACTGTACTGTACTTGTAGCTGTTATAGGTCCGTCCACCTCCATACGATGGTTAGAATTAGCCTTGTTTCGTTCATTTTCGGAACCCACGTTGATAAGTTTCACTTCGAACTCGACCACTCCAGTGCGATCAGCCAGTATGCGAGGAGGTTTAGGAGGTGGGCTTTCCGGAGAAACATGTTTATCGTTCGACGGTGAAGCAGATATAACCTCATCAGAACGCCTCGTATTGATTGCTGAAGTGCCATTCATTTCGCCAGTGTGAGCTCGTTTCTGTTCGTTGCTAGCATCACCAGATTTGTTTTCGTAAGAGTCATAAGCTTGTCTCGGACTTTGCAACTTGATTTCGATACTGGAGCTTTTCTTTCTCTTCACTCGCGGTTTCGGAACGGGTTTACCGTCCTGCGAAACCTCATTTTGGTATCGCCCTTCCTCGTCTGAATCTCTATACCCTGCTTGTTGCACCGCATCGGACGATGCAGCGTTCGAAGAAACGCTGGCAGAAGAACCAAACAAATATGGAGAAGGTACAGAACCACTCGCTGCACTGCCAGTTGTATCCGAGCTACCTGAACGGCCTGTTCTAGCGGCAAAATCTGAATGCTCGACGCCTGGCGAAGTGTTTCTATCGTCGTAACCGTGTTCAACTTCATATCTACGTTTATCTTGCTTTCTAAAACTAAATCGTCCTCTCTTCTGCTCCTCGTTGTCAGAGCCAGCTACTATGTTCCCAAGATCGCCATGAGCCTTACGATCAAGCTTGTGTTTGTCCTTTTCTTTCTCTTTCTTTCTCCTTTCCCTCCGCTCTTCTTTTGTCTCGATCACCTTGTCTTTGTCCTTCTTCTTGAAGGAAAACATTGCGATAGATTACTCCTTCAGTGCCGATGTTAGTTTACTTTCACGGGCAACTATATTTATAAGTTCATCACAAATGGCCGCCAAATTTTTAATTCATGAATCCGGGCACTGAAAAATTTGGTCACGTGACATATAGGTATTTCAAAAATTGCGTTACCAGACAACTGTTGTCAACTTTGACAAACTTCTTAATTCTCGAATATTGCCTGCAAGAAACTTATTCTTTCAGGTAAAACTAAGAAACATGGTCAAGGCGGTCAAGCATTTTTTGTTTATAGGATGGCATTTCCGCAACTATTTTGTCTGAGTGTATATTTTCAAGGAATGTATGGTGACATGTGTTACAGCTGGAATGTCACGCTATAGGGGAACGATGTTTACTGTTCTGGTAGATATTGGCTTTACATTTTTACACGTGGGTGAAATAAAGCACGTGGATTATAACTTCTCTGGCACAATCCACTGAACTGTGAAATTACAACCACGATTACTTATAACTGAGCGGAAATGCTTTTGTCATGATCAATTAAATGACGTCATGGGATTATTATATGCGGAGTTTGTTATAATTTTAATTAAAATACTCTGGCATCAATTAAAAATTTGGGGGGCGGGGGGAAGCTTTATTTATATTTCCCTCAATATCAAGAACCTTTTAATTTTCATTGGTGTGGTCCTATCTTTATCCATTTTTCTCGCTCGTTTTCTGATCTTTGCTGACTTCATTGTTTACATTTCTCCTCATTAACATACGACTTTGCGCAGAGAAGGCAACACGCTAGAATTGACTACAAACATTTAAGAGCTTGTGAAATTTAGTAGTTGGTGAAATTTTTGTCCCCTTGGGTGTAATATTCGAGGAGAAATTGGCTTTCAAAAATTGCATAATTTCTGGGTGGTAAATGTGCCAATGAGTCCATACATTCTTTGTAAAATTTTGAGTTTAAATGCGCGAAAAGCTTTCCAATACATTGGGCTCAAACTCTCTGGGACAGTTAATCGTGCTGTGCCCTTTCAATATCCTGAACTAACGCTTTTGTAACTCCATCAGGAACTGTATCGTATATGCTAATGACGCAAATATTGTTAACAAAGATTCTCCTATATATCGACAACAAGGCATACGAAATATACCACAAATTCCCGCTAACCCAATATCGGTAACATCTAGAACCTAATGGAAAGCTGATCTGGTCAGCCGATATAATTGTTTACAAACACAATATACCCGTTCCATCCGCGACAGAAGCCTTGCAACTGTCCTTCGACMCCTCTCCGCACCGGGAAGGRSACGGRGTGCTGGGGTGTACCACCTGCTTATTTTACACCCTTCACACTCTTCACCTGTGGCAGACAGGGCGAAAGCAATCATAATAATAAAGCTTGGGTTTATAGTCAAGACGTAATCAAGAAATAGTCAAGCCAGTCGCAGTATTTTATTACCACCAAAAGGATTTGTATCCCAACCTCGAATTACCTCTCAACGGTATGTTTGATCTGGGGCCAACCCACTGCACTGAGCAGAGCAGAGATCATATGTACAATCATCAGGGGAGGGGAAGGGGGAAGTGGGAAGTGGTGGCGGGGAAATCAGCGGGACGAGGGAGAGAAGGACAAGTGACCAAAGAGAGTTTAAAGTCCTCTTTTGTCCTCTCCCTTATCAGTCGACTCGTCACGTAGGAAACGAGAGAAAGATTCGCATGTATAGCGTACAACAAAGATAACCAAGCACTCTATGGATCGCAATTTCACCACCCGCTCCCTCCAGATTTTGTAACTACGTCAAAAATCAGAAAGCACCAACAACAGTTTGTGTAATTCCCATCCTTGGAGAACCAGGGACAGCTATACAGGACGTCCCGACTAGCTGCCCCTGGGCCTCCGAGGATGTGTAATGCCTAATCGGCTTTACCAAATAAATGACGATGATAAAGCGAGATATTCAGTTTTTGCCAGTAGACACAGAAACGTCAAAGGCCAGGCCACAATAAAAATAACGACACTTCACACCATTCGTGTTGGAGGGCAAATAATTTAATTCCTCGCTTGTAAATATAGGAATTGTTTAAAGTTAATCGATTTCCTCTATATTTCTCTTTCTCTCTCTCATAGAACTTTGGAGGAAAATACAAATAATCGTATCACGTTCTACATTTATCAAAATGTACACAGTCTGCATAAGGGACGCAAGAAATGATCCATGAGATAATTTTCTACAGCAAAAACTGGATAATATTCCGATAATGGCGCAGCAATGGACCCGGACAAACACGTTGAAATAAAACCTCAAATGGCCCAACACAACAGTGCGGAAAACACCGGCTTAGCCTGCTGCTGATCCACCAAAACCCGTTATATTCATTTATCATTAATTTTCCTGTATTTCTGTTTATCCTATTCACGGCGAAGTCACAATAGTCGGGGCAACGAGAGGCGATGAAACTTCGTAAGAACAACGGAACCGTTTCCGATCCGTATTGGCCAATGAGAATTAAGGCCGAACAATCCGAAAGTTACCTCGCCAGAAAGTTATCACTCGGAACCGACTCGTCTCCCCGACTGATGAACTTCGTTAGCTCAAGAAAACTTCGTTAGTTCGTCATCCATCAAAAACAACAACCAAACAAAGACACATTGAGTCTTTGTTATCGAGTGCCAAACCCAAGAAACAATATATACATGTGATAAGGGAGGGGAGTCTTTTAACGCCTTAGCAATAAATTTCCGAAAGAAAATTCAAGGAAAACCTTACGTTACGTATGGTATTATCGAGTTAACAAATTGAACGTCGAATTTTTCTATCAATTAAAAAGGTAAAGAGGACAAAGCTTTCGATGTTTCGAGCGCTAGCCGATATCATTTACTCTAACCAAGGACTAACACTCAAAATATCAGCTCTTAATATAAACTAACTTCTCCACTTCAACGGCAAAGCAGCAAAAACATGTTCTTTAGAAACTATTTCTCCGCTCCGTGTAACCCTCAATCGTTGCCTTACTGGGCTAGTGATAGAGTGAAAGAACTTTGATCATCGAATTCGAATCTAAGCGATGAGTAGGACAGCAGGTTTTGCCACATCAGCAAGCGTTATATTACATGAATAAACCTAAACTAAACCGGAATACCCTGAGCAATAGACGAGACCAGGAAATGTTATGAATGAACAGGCCCGGGTCACACCACAGAATCGCAAATTTATCTACACTGTGTGGTGGTGGCTCATGGTCGTCCTTCCGGGGCAGCCAATAAGATGTCCGCCGCAGTTCGCGCATGCTCAGCACCGATGCCATCGCCAGGACTTCTACTCCGTGGTCCCAAGCCAGCCAGCGGCAGTCCCAGCATTCCACGCGGCGGAAGAAATCCCGGTATACCTGGCGGGTGTGTTACCGCGGACATGGCGGCTCCACTAAGGTACGGGTTCGGCAAGGACCCTCCATGGGCGAAGATGGAGGGCGGAGCCATGTGGTGAGGATGGGTGTGGCTATGGGGTAGAGAATACGCATGAGGGTGAACGTGAGGAGGTGGGTACCCACCGATACGGTGTGGAACCGGAGGTCGAACGGAAAGACGAGAGAGGTCGAATGGTTCGCGAGACCTTTCCCTTTCGTCGTAAGGGTTCCGTTTGTCCATGTAACTCGAGTACAAGCCATGTGAATGGCCGCCGCCGCTATGTCTGTCACTTGACAAAATAACAAGCTCATGATCGTCCGATGATCTCCTGTCACCGGGTAACTTGGGTTCCTCCCGCCTGCCGCTTGAAAGGGCGCTGCTGACGGAAACGGAAGTCGATGAACTGCGCTCGAACGAGCTGCGGATTTCCTGTGAAGGCGACGTTTCCGGTTTGGGATCTGTGCTGGTCAGGCTAGCGATATTAAAACCTGTCGAGTGAGTAGGCCTGCCTGGTGATCGGCGCCCTTCCACGGGCTTATCCCGGTCGCGTTCGCGTTCGCGTTCACGTTCGCGTTGCCTTTGACTGCCATCGCCTTCCTCGTCAGAAATGTGGACCGTACCCCTCTCCCTCTCGGGGAGTTTACTAGGCAGTATACCAATTCTGTCGCTGGAGTCGAGTCTCCCTCTCTCCTTATCTCGATCTTGGTCGCGATCTCTACTTCGATCGCGCTCACGTTCACGCTCACGTTCACGTTCACGATCACGCTCGCGTTCACGTTCCCGTTCACGTTCCCTTCCACGTTCAAGCTCTCGTTCCTTTTCTCGTTCCGTTTCACGGCTCAGCCAAGAATGATAAGACGCAGGACTACTTGACATGCGACCCCACTCACGATTTAACCCGTGCGTACCACTGAAGCTTGATCCCAGGCCTAAAGAGCTACCAAGTCCACCACTTAAACTACTGTTCGCAGTACTTCGGAAGGGACTGGATATAGATGCTCCAAGACCCGATCTCAGTCCTCCGACAGCGCTATTGCCCAGTCCAATCGGGGGGCCACCTGAGAGGCCCACGGATCCTCCTCCAAAGGGTGTCAGACCGTGGTTGGTAGGATGGGCCGCAGGAATAGGACCACCTCCTAAGAATGAGCCAGCTGTAAAGATAATACAAGGAAAAAAAACTAGTTATTCATTAGGCTGGATTGAACCGGTCAAGGCTGCACCATTGCCACAGAAGGTCCAGTGTAACCCTGATGAAATGGAGTCGGTCTTAATATCTCGAAACATCAAAATTTATCATGCGCTCTAAGTGGAATACATTATCCTTTCAATTCAAAATACTGAGACCAGATCAAACAGTAATATGAGAGTTACACAAGAATTTTCCAACTCTTCCTAACTATCAAGTGGATTCGGTCAAACGAGATGAGAGCACGCGAGACTTCACATTATCTGACTGTTTGCACAAACTGAGACGGACAACGAATAACAAACTTGAAATATTTAGCCTACTGCTGGCATCTTTTTACAGTAGAACTCCGTTTACACGACCCCAACATAACGGTCAACCATAACAGTCAAACCCACCAGAGGGAATAGAAGGCGTGGGGACCGGACTCGCGGATCCAGGACCGTGCACGTGATACGACGCGTCGTGAGTACTGGGACGAGTGTGTAACGCGAGACAAGCGCCTGACCGGCTGATGGACACTTGGTCTGGTTTTACATGAGGGTCTTTATGTAACTCTGCCTGCACCTTAGTTGGGATAATGGAGAAAGCAGAATATAGGCGTTGGTTAGATCTCATCATAGTGTGTTAACGAGAGTTGACAGTTACGAGATGAAATTTTGCTGCATGTTATTTTCGTCCTCGTGTGAACCGTTTGAGAAACAGATGACTGCCACAGCGTGGAAAACAAACAACTCTCAGAACAAATTCGCAAGTGCTCGACTCCTACCGTAAATCCTTGAATTAGAGCCCGGGGCGCTTATTCGAGGGGGGCGCATAATCGAAAGGGGCGCTTATCTAATTTTTCCCAAATCGTGGCCTGAACCGTGTTCACAGACTGAAACAAGAAATTGTAGGATGCAACTTAGAAGAAAAGAAACATGTTTCCTGAATTGTAAAGATGCAAATTACTAATGACTGAATAAAAACAGCTGGACGAGAGTGATTAGACACGACGAAAACTATGCATCCTTTGTTGCCTAATTACTCGTCCACAAAATGGGTAGAGGGGAGGGGACGCTTGTTCGAGGGGGGCGGGGACGCTAATACAAGGATTTACCGTATGAACAAACTATTTGTATTATTGTATTGGTAACTACTGTACTCAAAACTACTTTCCCAGATGTATTTGCTAGACAAAAACTGCAAGGAAAGCAGTTGATTTTTCTACAATTTTCTTGAAAAAAAAAAAAACACACTACCACTACTTTTTTCCTGAGAGAAACCTTGAAAAAGTCGTTCGCTCCCGCACGTTGAGCGCGTCTCTTTGATAATTTGGCGGGAAGAGAGACACCTCTTTGTATAGAAACGATAGTCACCACTCTGACAACAACTCTTAACTTCCTATTGTAATTCACGAGTTAAAAAGGGAAAAAACGCTACGTGCTTTACCTTCTGTTGATGATAGTAAATCTGCCACGCGATTTGTACGTGTGTTGCGCACCATTTGCCAGGTTTCTGCGTAGACAATAAAAGAAGCAAGATCAATTGTGCAACTTGTCCAGGACTACCAGGGGTAGTTTCCTAAAATAGCTTAAGAACTTCGAATAAAATCAAAAGGCAATCGCACTGGGAAAGGTTTCCTCCCAATAACAATGCAATGTCTATAAAACTAGAATCAAGGTGGAGAAGACGCAAAGTTTTCTTTCATATTCGAATTTATTTCTTAGGTATTCTGCGGTTTTTGTACAAGTACCTTATGCAATGACGCGCTTGCTTTTGCTGAAAATTTGGATTCGTTCAAAGAAACTCGCGCAACATGCAGGAACCAATAAGAGAAAAGAAAAACGGCCGCGCGGGGTACGCGAATTTTCCCGCGCTTTTTGTGGCCAGTGACAGGATGCGTGTGTAACATGACTGTAATAATATCTGTTCGGAATGTTGTCCAAAAAGTAGTCTCAGTTAACACAATAGAAAGACAATACCTTTTGAATGAGAGGGGGAGGTGCTGGAGTGTGGGGAGCAAAGAATGAACCCACAGGTGGGACTCCAAGCTGGCGAAAACACAAAACAAGAAAAGAACTTACTCTACGAACACTGTTGTTTGTCATGTGAACTAAAAACCTGATGAATTCTAGCTAAATAGTAGAAAGGAAGCTAAGCAAGGAGCTGCGTTCAAGCACATTTTTTGTAAAATTTCACAGGAGTCCGTCAAAACCAGCCTGAAACGGACATTTTAGGCTGCAGTTCTAGTCAAAGGATATAACGCGAGTCCTTGACTTTGTACGATATATTGCCAATTCATTTGGATCCTCGCCATTGTTAGTCATCCTTACTTCCTCATGAGTTCAAACATTATTGTTCTACAAAACTAACACCCCTTTTTTTTCGGGTTTCTTTTCGTCAAAATCAAGCTAGAACTATATATTACGTGTACCTCTTTAATGAAGGCTACTAAAACGCTAGTCGCATCGTTAAACTTGTTTCTGGCCGAACAACTTCCACTGACAACGATAATCTCTAATAAAGCTAACAACCGTCTTGGAATCAGTTGGTTAACCAGGAATTTAACTGACTTAATCCAGCCTCACCCCCTCCCCCTCCTCTCTCTTCCCTCTCCCCTCCACCTCCCCCTTCCCTCTCCCTGTGAGCTGTCCGATTACCCATCGCTATCTCCTTTCCTCAGGGTTGAGGCTCCATTTTCTAAAAGTAAGTGACATGTGGGCTACAGAAAAACAGACACGAAATGCGACCAGTAAATTACTGTTACATGGGAGCAGCACTCACCACAGACTGGGGTACCTGTGGTGTTGACAGCGGTGCACCATTGCTGTGGAAGTGTTGATGTTGATGCTGGTGTTGGTGTAGGTGTTGGTGATGATGCTGATGACTCTCGTAATGCATAAGCTGTGACGCGCTCATTCCATTAGGAACTCTGTCGGCTTGTGACTGAAGAAAACGATTGTTTAGTTCGTGACGTAGAAATTCGGGACCTGCAAGGAGAACGACGGTTGGTTTGATTCAATCTGACACCTCAACGAGGTGCATTGAAAGTGAACACTAAATAAAATGCAAAAGCTTCTTTTGTTCAGATCTCTGTCTTCTATCTTTCTGGCCATATCCCCCACCCGTGGGAAGAAATTAAAGCTACCTTCTAGAAAATATAACATTAACCTCGAACAAAATTGTCCTAGTAGGTTGAAATGCGATAATAACAGCTGCCTAAAATTCATTTTGGACACTCTTAATCCAACCTCATCGACTGATGCAACTATCTATCTATTCGATTTCTCTGTCCTGAGGCTCGGATTAGGGAACGACGGAGAAGGCATTACAAGACATTCCCTCACCATCTTGAGAGAGAGACCACAGGCCTACCTCAAACGTTGATGAGGCTTCTCCAACGTGCATCAGTGTGCGGTATGCAAAGTATACACTTTCATTCACGTTCTCGCTCATTTGCGCGCTACACCCAACCTCTAGAACGAGCTAATAATCTAACTAGTGCAGTGCAAGAGTGCTGCCTAATCTTCCTAAAAAAGTGCATGATTCAGCACTAGCGTCCACACCGAACCCCATCCCCCGCTTCCTTCTCAGTCCACCTGCCGTCATCAAGGGGGGTTGGTGCGCGGCGATGTGGAGCCCGTGTCTGAACCCTGGTGCATTACTTGGATAAGGAAAAGGTGACTCGCCAGCCGGTCCATGAGGATATCCCAGTGCACCCGGGTGGGAGTGAAATGAAGGGAAGTGAGGGAACAGGCTGCCGTGATGGGCGTGTCCAAAGGTGGGCGTCATGGGGTGACTCATGGTGGTGTTGGTACTCAATGCCAGGTGGAAGCTTGTTGAGGTGTTCGAGCCATGGCTGCTGGGCCGTTGCGAAGTTACCGTTGATGAACTGAAACACAACGAGATGTGCGTCGTCAACAAAACTGAGTTTGTTGTTGTTCATTTGGTAGGATAAAGTAAATTAATTTATAATGATATATTTGTAATCCTTGATGAATTTTTACCGTGTCTAAAGAATAATTAACGATTAAAGGATATAAATGGAAATTTAAGTAACCACGACGGCGGCACCGAGGACAACGTCGATCAAAACATGACTTTATATTTAACCTACGAATCTCGCGATAGTCTAAATCATTTAGTTGTTTCTCTTTGTCAAAACTATCTCGAAACTGAATCTCGAGTCGAGAGTTAAATTTCAAATAGAAAATTCAATAAATTGGCCATTGTGGTTCACGTTCTCCGGACAACGCAGAATTTTGTCATTTCACGTTGTTGTTTTGCAGGGGACAGTAAGGAAAGGTAACCAGAATTATAACGTGCGTGCACAACCATTGTACTGCTCATTAATTCTTTTGTTTAGCGACGTTGCCGTTGTGGTTTTCCTAAACTCCCTGGAGGGAGGGTCGAAGTCTCAGCTAATTTTCAGAAGTTCATTACTGACCATACGCGTTAATGTAACGAAACTCGTTTCAGTTTTCATCAGTTTCCCATTTTACACTACCGCACGTGTTCATATTACTAACTTGATTACAAGTGCTAAAAGAGTAATACCTTGGCCATTCGGATGGTTTTGATGTAGTCCTCTCCACTTCTTTATCAGAAGATTCAGTAGTGCTGACTTTGGCTGTGGAAACTGGTGTCTTTGCAGCCAAAAGCGAATCTACAGGACACAAATAATGTTCAGATATCACTTGATGTTTAAAACTTAACATCACATCGCCAAGGTGGCGTCGCGGTCAATCGTATTCGGATCAACTGTACCGTCTCGGTTTACGGGTTACGTCACCGAAATGAAGTGACCGTGACGGTCTGGGAGAAAGCCGTACAGAAACTTGATCACGATCGGTTAGTTGGCGAGTGGCAAAAAGAACAACAAGCGCGATAAAGACTAGAGGTACATGGGAGAAGCTCCCACAAATCACTTTAGCCCTTTTGTACTCGCCGTTCTTTCAGCTGCTTCCCAACTGCCCAAACTCCTGAGACATGCTAACCCGGAAAGCCTAACAACCAAGTATTGTCTTTTACTGGGTTACTTGGTTAACATTAGGTCGACATCTCTGCATAGTCGTTATTTGTGTGTGCGTTCATTATTCGATAACATCTTCCTTGACAACGGACTAGATACAAACGTGACTCACGTGGCCAATCTTGAATATTAACAATAGAACTCTAACTCGGCTCCGAGGCGTAAAGAAAAGAAGGCAAATTGCGCCGAGTTTGTTGTTTTTACACCCACGTTAGAATTTCGATAGATCAACATTGGCATATTCAGAATAACACTGACAGTAAACTGTACAAGTTAGCAAAGAGAATTCTTTAAATGTTTCTTGCTTTTAGAGACTAAAACACTGAAGAATACATTAGAGACTAGGAAATACATTAGCGATGAAAGACTTCTACCTTAGTGCGTCTTTAAAACGCAGTGTGATATTTAGATGACAAAATTTAGTAACAGTATTATATTACTTACTGCTTGGTGCTGACGTTGGAACAGTCGATTCATTCTCTGACATCTGAAATGCAAATAAACAGTGACGTTAGAACACTGCCGGTCTAACCCAGCAGGGAATATGAGGCGAGACGTTTCAGACGAGAAGGGATTGGAACGAGACACGTACGCGACACTCTGGTCTCGCCCCACTCCCTATTCGTCGATACCGTCCTTTTGCGTGTTTGTGTTCAACGCCCCAAGAAAAAAGACCGGCTGCGGCGGTCTACAGCGACGTTGCCATGGAGTTTAAATTTGGTATACTCACTATGTTACTTTCTGTATTGTTCCCATCGTCAGGACCTCCTTGAGCATTTTAATTGAGAACTAAATTCAGTAGAAGTCCTTAACAATACATCCAATGGCAATCGCAGAAAGTGACCTTGTTATTTACGTCTTGTGAAAATTTGTTTACCGCAAAAAAGTCATAGCGCAGCCATGCTATATACAGTAGCTGTTATTGCAGTTATCAGCAGCTTGACACACAAACGAAACGAAAGGGTCAATTCTGCATTGTACTGACCCTTTCGCCTCGTTTGCATGCCTTTTAAAACGAAAGAATATCTGACCGCAGACTCAACTGCAATAACAGCTGTTGAAACAGCTGGAGGGGTTTTATTTATGCATTCGTAAAATGTTTACTCTCTTTTTAAAATTTCATTTCACTCCAAACATGTAAATTTTGACTCGCAACAAGCGCTCCCATTGGACAAAAACAGCGGTCTAANAAGTGACATGTGGGCTACAGAAAAACAGACACGAAATGCGACCAGTAAATTACTGTTACATGGGAGCAGCACTCACCACAGACTGGGGTACCTGTGGTGTTGACAGCGGTGCACCATTGCTGTGGAAGTGTTGATGTTGATGCTGGTGTTGGTGTAGGTGTTGGTGATGATGCTGATGACTCTCGTAATGCATAAGCTGTGACGCGCTCATTCCATTAGGAACTCTGTCGGCTTGTGACTGAAGAAAACGATTGTTTAGTTCGTGACGTAGAAATTCGGGACCTGCAAGGAGAACGACGGTTGGTTTGATTCAATCTGACACCTCAACGAGGTGCATTGAAAGTGAACACTAAATAAAATGCAAAAGCTTCTTTTGTTCAGATCTCTGTCTTCTATCTTTCTGGCCATATCCCCCACCCGTGGGAAGAAATTAAAGCTACCTTCTAGAAAATATAACATTAACCTCGAACAAAATTGTCCTAGTAGGTTGAAATGCGATAATAACAGCTGCCTAAAATTCATTTTGGACACTCTTAATCCAACCTCATCGACTGATGCAACTATCTATCTATTCGATTTCTCTGTCCTGAGGCTCGGATTAGGGAACGACGGAGAAGGCATTACAAGACATTCCCTCACCATCTTGAGAGAGAGACCACAGGCCTACCTCAAACGTTGATGAGGCTTCTCCAACGTGCATCAGTGTGCGGTATGCAAAGTATACACTTTCATTCACGTTCTCGCTCATTTGCGCGCTACACCCAACCTCTAGAACGAGCTAATAATCTAACTAGTGCAGTGCAAGAGTGCTGCCTAATCTTCCTAAAAAAGTGCATGATTCAGCACTAGCGTCCACACCGAACCCCATCCCCCGCTTCCTTCTCAGTCCACCTGCCGTCATCAAGGGGGGTTGGTGCGCGGCGATGTGGAGCCCGTGTCTGAACCCTGGTGCATTACTTGGATAAGGAAAAGGTGACTCGCCAGCCGGTCCATGAGGATATCCCAGTGCACCCGGGTGGGAGTGAAATGAAGGGAAGTGAGGGAACAGGCTGCCGTGATGGGCGTGTCCAAAGGTGGGCGTCATGGGGTGACTCATGGTGGTGTTGGTACTCAATGCCAGGTGGAAGCTTGTTGAGGTGTTCGAGCCATGGCTGCTGGGCCGTTGCGAAGTTACCGTTGATGAACTGAAACACAACGAGATGTGCGTCGTCAACAAAACTGAGTTTGTTGTTGTTCATTTGGTAGGATAAAGTAAATTAATTTATAATGATATATTTGTAATCCTTGATGAATTTTTACCGTGTCTAAAGAATAATTAACGATTAAAGGATATAAATGGAAATTTAAGTAACCACGACGGCGGCACCGAGGACAACGTCGATCAAAACATGACTTTATATTTAACCTACGAATCTCGCGATAGTCTAAATCATTTAGTTGTTTCTCTTTGTCAAAACTATCTCGAAACTGAATCTCGAGTCGAGAGTTAAATTTCAAATAGAAAATTCAATAAATTGGCCATTGTGGTTCACGTTCTCCGGACAACGCAGAATTTTGTCATTTCACGTTGTTGTTTTGCAGGGGACAGTAAGGAAAGGTAACCAGAATTATAACGTGCGTGCACAACCATTGTACTGCTCATTAATTCTTTTGTTTAGCGACGTTGCCGTTGTGGTTTTCCTAAACTCCCTGGAGGGAGGGTCGAAGTCTCAGCTAATTTTCAGAAGTTCATTACTGACCATACGCGTTAATGTAACGAAACTCGTTTCAGTTTTCATCAGTTTCCCATTTTACACTACCGCACGTGTTCATATTACTAACTTGATTACAAGTGCTAAAAGAGTAATACCTTGGCCATTCGGATGGTTTTGATGTAGTCCTCTCCACTTCTTTATCAGAAGATTCAGTAGTGCTGACTTTGGCTGTGGAAACTGGTGTCTTTGCAGCCAAAAGCGAATCTACAGGACACAAATAATGTTCAGATATCACTTGATGTTTAAAACTTAACATCACATCGCCAAGGTGGCGTCGCGGTCAATCGTATTCGGATCAACTGTACCGTCTCGGTTTACGGGTTACGTCACCGAAATGAAGTGACCGTGACGGTCTGGGAGAAAGCCGTACAGAAACTTGATCACGATCGGTTAGTTGGCGAGTGGCAAAAAGAACAACAAGCGCGATAAAGACTAGAGGTACATGGGAGAAGCTCCCACAAATCACTTTAGCCCTTTTGTACTCGCCGTTCTTTCAGCTGCTTCCCAACTGCCCAAACTCCTGAGACATGCTAACCCGGAAAGCCTAACAACCAAGTATTGTCTTTTACTGGGTTACTTGGTTAACATTAGGTCGACATCTCTGCATAGTCGTTATTTGTGTGTGCGTTCATTATTCGATAACATCTTCCTTGACAACGGACTAGATACAAACGTGACTCACGTGGCCAATCTTGAATATTAACAATAGAACTCTAACTCGGCTCCGAGGCGTAAAGAAAAGAAGGCAAATTGCGCCGAGTTTGTTGTTTTTACACCCACGTTAGAATTTCGATAGATCAACATTGGCATATTCAGAATAACACTGACAGTAAACTGTACAAGTTAGCAAAGAGAATTCTTTAAATGTTTCTTGCTTTTAGAGACTAAAACACTGAAGAATACATTAGAGACTAGGAAATACATTAGCGATGAAAGACTTCTACCTTAGTGCGTCTTTAAAACGCAGTGTGATATTTAGATGACAAAATTTAGTAACAGTATTATATTACTTACTGCTTGGTGCTGACGTTGGAACAGTCGATTCATTCTCTGACATCTGAAATGCAAATAAACAGTGACGTTAGAACACTGCCGGTCTAACCCAGCAGGGAATATGAGGCGAGACGTTTCAGACGAGAAGGGATTGGAACGAGACACGTACGCGACACTCTGGTCTCGCCCCACTCCCTATTCGTCGATACCGTCCTTTTGCGTGTTTGTGTTCAACGCCCCAAGAAAAAAGACCGGCTGCGGCGGTCTACAGCGACGTTGCCATGGAGTTTAAATTTGGTATACTCACTATGTTACTTTCTGTATTGTTCCCATCGTCAGGACCTCCTTGAGCATTTTAATTGAGAACTAAATTCAGTAGAAGTCCTTAACAATACATCCAATGGCAATCGCAGAAAGTGACCTTGTTATTTACGTCTTGTGAAAATTTGTTTACCGCAAAAAAGTCATAGCGCAGCCATGCTATATACAGTAGCTGTTATTGCAGTTATCAGCAGCTTGACACACAAACGAAACGAAAGGGTCAATTCTGCATTGTACTGACCCTTTCGCCTCGTTTGCATGCCTTTTAAAACGAAAGAATATCTGACCGCAGACTCAACTGCAATAACAGCTGTTGAAACAGCTGGAGGGGTTTTATTTATGCATTCGTAAAATGTTTACTCTCTTTTTAAAATTTCATTTCACTCCAAACATGTAAATTTTGACTCGCAACAAGCGCTCCCATTGGACAAAAACAGCGGTCTAAAACCAAGCTACCGGCTGTACCGGAACAGGCCGATTCCAAGTGACGCTGTGCCTCTGTTTCAAAACGAGGCCTCGCACAAAACCTTTCATATGAAAATGAATTTGATTTGCATGAAAATGAACTTATAGGGGGAACCATTTTCATATGAATGGTTTCGCATGAAAACTCAAAGAAGGGAGGAGGGGGGGGCGGAGGCAACTTGGAAATAGCCTACTAGCAAAGCAAGCTTGACATTAAAAGTTAAATCCCTTTACATCAAGAACAACATTCTGAGTACTTTTCCAAATATTCTTTTTCTTATCCATAAAATTTGCCTCTAGAGTAAGTTGTAAGTGGAATTTAGCTTACCCTTTCACCTTCACTCTCAGTGTCACACTGAAAAAGAACAAGGAAGCAATTACACAATGTAAGGATGCGCTCAATTGACCTTACAGAGGCACCATCACAGGAACATTCAAGACTGAATGTTTGTCCAAATAGTGGTACAATTATATGATTAAGTTCATTCACTTGCAATGCCCCTAGAAAACCCCTCTCTTTTGAAAAACACTACAGTGTTTTCAAACAAAAATTTAAAACATTTCTCTGTTAATATCATTTTAAAGAGACAATTGCAAAAGTTTGGGAGAACACAGAAACACTACGGAAACACTCCCCTATCAGCACGTGTTTCCATAGCTTTTCCCTAAACTTCCACATGTGTTCATATAATTGGATAGAAACACAGAAATAATTCTAATTCTTAGGTAGCATGCTGCTGAGCTGATTCTAACTCTTAAATATGTGGATGAGATTCAAGTGTGCAAGTGAGCTGTAGTTTAATGTGGTACTGTATATTGCACTGTTCATAGCGGTTTGATTGAAACTCAAGTGTTTGACAATTCAAATGATCACTGTTGAGCAGTACTTTCATGAGTATGTATTGTTTACTATGCTGCACAACTTGGTGCTGTTTTCAGTCTGAATGGAACCCTAGTGTGCAACTATTCAAACGATAACAACTGCTCGTCTTTGCTTTTTTTATAATTTACAAACTAAGAAAGAAGGTCAAAAAGCCATCTTTACCCAGTATCCTTTGTCAGAACTTGCAGAATCTGAATTATCCTGTCAAAAGACAAGTAAAGGATCAGAAAAAAACAACTACAGGCTAATTTTAAGCACATCATGAGACAAGCTTAGTTGCGAAAAATAGTACATGTACATGTAGTCAACACAATGAAAAGCTGTGGAGAGCAATCAGGTGGATTTAAGAAAACATTTACATAGTACAGAGTAACTAAGCGCAGCACAGCGGCTGAAATCTATTTAAAGCCGGGGTACAATTGTTTTTAGTCTGGCAAACATGCAGCATCAACTAACATGTGAGTGAACCAATTAACCACTCAGTCGAATGCAAGAGGAACACAATCATTCAATATTTAACAAGATGTTTCTTGGCATGGTTACTTATGCATGCCACCCAGCCATACAAAATCTTGCATACATGTAGGTTGCAACTTTAGATTCTATAATTCGAAGCAATATTAGATGCATTTCTTTTCAAACTTATCACTGTCACTAGACCTTGCAATCTCTTTCTCATTTTATCATCAAATCTTTTTACAAGGTCTGTCACACTCATTTGTGCATGTGCAGCAACTTGATTTGTGCACTGATGGTCAAATTTACAAAGTTGGCTTTGATGAGGAAAATCTGATTCCATCGATCTTGTGGGTACAGTAAACATCACAGTACCAGAGTATATGAGGTCTTATTTTTCATTTGTGGAGAGTTTTTACAACATATTTTGTATTTTGGTGCAAAGGTCATGAGAAATTTAATGTCATTGATGGAGGATCATCCTAAACAAAGAATCGAAAGTAGGACAAAGACATTTCAAAGGACAGAAATTTATTACCAAGCTAAGCTTCACAAGGAGATCAGAAATTAACCTAGAGCATGCGTGGTACTGAATCATACAGTTTCTATTTGGTTAAAAACCTTCCAGTGTTGTTAACTCTTTAAATGGGCAAATTTCAAGATATGAACAGTGGCATCAAATAAGTTTTCCTTGAGTAAAATCCAATTCATTCATGAATGAATGAACATCCATTCTAACATTCAAAGTCAAGAGCTTTGAAAATAAAATAGGTGTGATGCTTCAGATTTCACCACAAGAATCAAATCGCTTTAGTTACATTAACTTTCATAAATGGAAGGCGCATATGTACTGTACCCTTACACGCACATAACTTACTTCACTTGTGTTGAGTCCCTTTTCTCGCTGAGGTGGAAACCAAGATCCTTCTGGTTTCTTCCTCTCTACACTGGCATCATCCTCAGAGTCACTGTCTTTGGGTTTTGGATCATGGTGCATCTACGAGAGATAAAGTTTTGGGTAAGTTAAAAATAAGGTATAATTTGAAAAATACAATCATGTACAAGTAGTTCTTATCGTCATGGCTGTTCAAATGGACCAATTTTCCGTTCTGTACTCTTGTAACACTCAGTATACTTCTAAGGGACATTATGCAACCACTGAAATCTATTTGCCACACAGAAATATCCTCACCCTTTCATTTCTGTTGTCAAACCACAATATTCAGATAATGGAAAATATATACCTGGAAATACGCAAAGTTTGCAAACGGAGGCATGTTGAGAACTCAGCAGGTCAAAAGAAGTAGTCTCCCTTAGCACTTGCTCCACCCAAAGAATAAGAATTAACTGACAGCAAAGGTACTTGCAAATATTAGCTCAACAAAGTTAGCACACATTACTTTTATGTCTACAAGGTGTGATCACCTGCTGTTCCACAGTCTTATGTCTCAGTGTAAGCAGGAAGTTCAAAGACTCTTAACAAGTCAAAAATAAACAAAGTACACAGAAGAACACACTTAAACCCAGAACCTTGCACAACCAAGAAAGCTGCCATAACCATTCACAATCCCACCACCTGTTTTACATCGCTTGCATCTAAGCGTGAACACGTGATACCAAAACATGCTCTAATTGGGTGTCAAACGTGGCATGATTGGTCATCAAACATTTGAAGTTTAGCAGACCATGGTGCAAACTTTCGCGCTCAAAGTTCAGCACACAAAATGGCACTATGGCAGAAAGATTAGACATTGAAGACCTATTCAGAGAAATTGACCCTGACCTGTGTCAATATGCATATGCCTTTCGCGAAAGTGGTTTTACTTCTGGTATAATCATGAAATACTGGCAGGAGCAAGACTTTCAGAGTCTTTCAGAGCATGAAACTTCGCATTCCGGTCTGCTAAACTTCAAATGTTTGATGACCAATCATGCCACATTCGACACCCAATTAGAGCATGTTTCAGCGTCACATATTCACGCTTAGATGCAAGCGACGGTAAATCCCCAAATTCTCATTATCCTTTCAAATTACATTCAAACAGGCATTTAGTGCAAATAACAAACCTGATGTGGAAACAAATTGTTTGTGATAAAGAAGTTTCCCTCCATCCACTTTCACTTGATAACGAGAATTGGGCATACAGATTTTAAAACAAAGTTAACTTTGAATCATTGGTTGTTACGGTCAGCATGATTATGTAATCTGTGTTTTTCTTGGGTTGCCTAGCTATTTTGCAAGATCCTGCAGTGTATGTAAATATGGTTTTGTGTTGATCTTATCAAAGAGAGAGAAAAAAATGCTCTAAAAGAACCTTTAAATGTTTCAGTTACACACTACATTCTTTCAAGTTGACTGGCATCCAGTTGTTAAGGTACAGTAGTACGGTAGTTAACACTGTTATTTTGGCACATCTTGATGCATATACTTGGAGTAACTTTTACACAGGTGGCTTGTTCAGTGTGGTAACGTAAACTTTCAAAATTTACCAAACTTGCTTTCCTGTCCGTGTGTGCATCTTCTGTTTCTTAAACAACATTAAAAAAATTCACTAAAAATATTTTTCCTTAAAAAGGGAGACTGTTTTTAAATTATATGTAGCACTGGTGCATTAAACTGTTGATAAAATATCTAAATTCTCTCAAGTTTTTTTATCATTTTTTTAATTGTTTTGCATTTTCTACTATTGAATTTTTCTCTTCATTATTACAACAAAATAGAAATCTGTTAGCCTGAAACAGTGTGGATCTCACAGATATGTCAAACACTCTCCCTGCACTTAACTATTAGCCAAACTATAATACAAAGATATACTGATCAAAGCAACCTAAATCCATTTTGCAATATATGTGTTTTTTAGTAACAGCAACAAACATTGTCAGGATAGAAGTCACAGGTGTGAACACTGCTGTCCAAGTAAATACTATTATCTTTATTAAATGCGTAACTACAATAACTTTTGGCAGTGTCTATAACATGCTGTACTGTAATGTCCAAGCTTAATATGGAACCTCACATTAGGAGCAAGGTCAACTGCATGTACATCTGTCCACATGACAGGAGAAGAATGGCAAATGAGAATGACTGAATCATGGGCATGGACTACAGATGGAGAATGTGAACTAAACAAGACTAGTGGCCCTCGCAATTGCAGACAAACCCGAGACAAATTCAGGGCTTCAACTGTATTTGAACCCATCACTTCTCCATTTACAGTGCATGACACTGCACAATCAGAGCCAGGTGAAGTTATAATAATTATCAGTTTTTCCCTTTTCCCTTTCCCCTTAATGATTTTCTCCACCTGTCTGTAACTTAACATGTAATTGCCACTGGCTTTTGCAAAAATTTTTTGTCGATTTCCTTGCCTTCTCAGTTCTTCTAGATCAACTCTAATTGAAAAGACAAACCCTGCTCACATATGTTCCGCTGTGATTTTACACATGGCTTCCCAAAATTCCTATAAAACTACTGGGTACCGGTAACAATATTGAAAAACAGTTACAATCTGAACATAGTTCAGATTACACTGACCACCCTTAAAATCTGAAAATGTGTGTCACCATAATTTGTGTTTACCACATCATGACACCATCTGCAATTCATAACAGAACAGATGCATGGCAACATGGAATCTATTTGTTAATCTCTGTATATATCTTCAACCAAACTGGCAATAAAAACGACACAATAATAATATAACCTTTATTTACCCTTGGCGGTGTTTATAGCACAAAGGCTAGTGGGGCTGCAAATGATTCAAATTGAACATGACATTGTTAAGAATCCCAACTACATGTACTTGGAGGCAAACCAGTTGGCTATTTACAAGAACAGTCAAGTAAAATAATTATTTATTCGATAGCCATGATGTTGACATGTGGCAACATATTTAGTTTGAATGTGAGTGAGATGCATTAGTGTATTACACTTACAGCTGTTTTATATTATTAGTGTATAACTGTATGTAAAAAAAAATATAATCGGTTTTGTTTTTTTAACTAGAGATATCTTCAATGTGTTTTTTATCTTTTAAATTAGAAAAATCTTTAATGCAATATAACAAAGTTATCTTTATTGTTTCTTATCCCTACAGGTTTATTGTTCATGTCCATGGCGGATCCAGACTTTGAGCTTAACGGGGGAGGGGGGGGGGCATTTTGTTTTGCTTGCCCTGCCAGCTTTTCTTCCTTCTGTGATTTCTTCTTTTTTTCCCCAAAACAAAGGGGGGCACCCTCCCCTAGATCCGCCACTGCATGTGTAAAATTAACCTGGACATGCTAATTGACCTTTGGCATGATTTCCACTAACACATGGTCAACACAGACATCACTTTACAATTCCCAGACTTTTCGCTGACAAAAAGTATTATTTCCCTAACCAAATAAATACAAAATGCAAGCCTCCCCTTCCAGATATACTTTCCACTCATTAAGACTGTTCAATTTTCAATAGTTTTCACCTTCTTCATTATGGAAAAACTACACTGACGTCACAAGTGACCCGAAATTTCTTCCAGCCTTTAATGGTATATACTCAGTCGTGATATAACTTCAATTTTTCCTCACTTCTCTTCGAAATGTCAATTTTCCTTGACTCAAAATAAAATTCCCTGACTTTTTGACCTCCAATAATTTTTTCCCTGACCATTTCCTGACCTGTGGCAACCCTGGCCTTTGGCATGACTAACACTACCAGGGATCCTAACCTGACTGTCCAAAGAAATAAATTGAACCTTCTGAGAGCAAACATCAGGGTTAATATTGACAACAGTGAAAAATAGAACTCAAACACTCGCTTACAGGAGTGAGATCAATCTTTTCAGGTGACCTGAAATATTTCACAGAATTTTTCCAACAATTAAAGTCGCTGGCCCAGATGACATAAGCTAAATATTAAATTAAATCTTCCATTTGATTTCAACCTTTGTTACTCGTAAATCCTAGTGATGTCATATACTGACCAAACAACTTGTGTCTTGCCAATACTGTCAATAGTAGTTCAAAACGTTTAAATACAAAGCAGGCACCAAGAATGGTCTTGGTAATACAGGTAAATACAAAGATGGGAGTGGCCCTTGTTCTTTTCTGGCCTGCTTCAAAATATTCAGTTGACTCACTCAGACTGCAAACACATAAAAAACTTGACTAACTTTACATCACCAATATCAGCCATCTTGACCTCCTGCTTGGTCAATAACCTTAATTTCCTTTTGCGCAAGCACCACATATTCACATGCGAGCACGTCTTGATAAAAATATTGAAAATCAGGTCTCTGAGGTCAAACACTTGTAGTTCACAAAATGTCTCTTTCATTTTCTTACAAATGCCAACAGAGATTGACGGAAAAAACACACACCAGCATGCTATGATACTGACTCCTCAACGAGTAAAACAAGCATCTCAAGGCCCTATTGAAGGTTTTCAAGACGTGGAATATTAAGGTAAAAAAATTTAACGGGATGAAAAATTAACAGGATGAAAAATTAACGGGATGAAAAATTAATGGGATAAGAGATATTTAGATAAGATAAAATAGGATATCAGTCAGGATAATCATTATAATAATAATAATAATCATCATCATCATCGATATTTAAACAGGGTGACCCCTTCAGTCGCAGGACTGGTATCAACGGGGGCCCTGTATAACGTAAAATATTATGGGGACTCTCTCTTACTTGTTGCATTTTTGTCTAAGCTTCACTTTTTCATTGAGGCAGACAAAATAGGTAAGCCTAGACTCAAGGCAAAGAGCCTACATGTGTAGGGTTCCAGATAAGTTTTCAAGGTATGGTGTCAATGAGGAATTCCAACGGTTCAATTTCCAATGCTCCCACCAAATCATCATAAATTTTCTAGTAATTTGTCACGTCATGTTGCTGACCTTGTTGGGTTTTTGACCTGAGACCCCTTGCTTATCTGGAACACTGCATGTGTCAAAATAAGTTGCTGCCGAAAGTAAAAACATGCACCTGTAAAAACCTTACGTAGTTTCTAGAAATATCTTAACTCACACCACATGGTCTATGTCATTCAGAAGTCAACAGGCCACATTCAATATATCAATATTCTAACATGGCTCTGCAGCTTTCAGGAAAAAACTGCAAATTTTTAAAGTTTCCTTTGTCTCTCAATTCCCAAAAGAGACTTGGATACACAAATAACACCACCAGATATAGAAGGTTGTCCAAAAGGCCTAGGAGCCATGTTAGAATATTGATATATCAAATATGGCCTATAGGGGCTTATCTTTTTTCACTGCTCACATGTTAATCGATTTTTGTTTACTACAGTACTACTGTACTGTAGCTGTAGCTTTGTTTGACAATAGTCAAAGTCAAAACTGACCACACAACCAATAAAATAAACAGGAAAGACCATGTGTGACTAAAAAGTTATAAAACTTAAAAAAAAAATTTAAACAAGAAAGACACATGTACATGAAGTAAAACCTTTTTAACTTAAAAAAAAAACCTTTTTACTTAGCAGTAACTTGAACAAACACCTTTACCTGAACAATAGCATTGTTCCAAAATACAATTAACCATTGTGTGGAAAGCAATTATTTTATAATTATGCCAAGGTTGCCAGACACAAGCTACAGTGTTTCAATAAGGCCCATCACCTGCTGGAGCTCCGGCAGGTATTCGCTTGTGAATTGCCAGCTCCAGTCTGTGTTAACAGTCTTCAAAAGTTAGCCCTCCAAAGGAACTTGTGACAGGGCTATCTCACTGCTTTCTTACAGGTGCTGCACCACTTCAAAAATAATTGAAAACACTGCAGCTTTTAGACAAAAATTCTGAGTAGCTTTTGTCACTAACTAACATCTTTTTTTACCTCTAGATGAACTAAACTCTTAACTGTGTTTTGTGATCTTACATGATCATAAGGAAAACAGCACTACAGATTGATAAACTGTTAAACCAGCATAAAGCGCACATGTTGAGGGATATTTAAATTTGTACATTTAACATAATATTCATAATACACTGTGAAGCTGAATAAAATAGGAGTAGCAGTAGGTTTGCTATGACCAACTAAAACAGGATTTACTTTCTTTCGACAAGCTACTTACATCTTACATTGTACTATTTACAACGTAAAATAAAACAGGTTGGCATTTTTCGACCTGTATTAGGGTAAAATCCATTACCCAGATCTTTGTTGATAATATACATTGTACCCCATCCTAGAAATCAATAAGGTAGCTGCAAATACTTGACAAATACCCAACAAGGGGGATCAGCATGATTAAAATTGATTAAGTCAATATGCTCAATTATGCTTCATGCAACCAAAGCATGGTAAAGGATTTAACCTACCATGCTGAGAATGAAAATAATAATTCCATGGCAACAGACACTTAAATGTTTAGACCTGTGTCAAGGTGATGTCATCCTAGGATAAACAAGTGTTGTGAATCATTCTTGGACCCATTTAATTTGCAGTCACTAGATTGATGCCCAAGGGTGTTTAGGCTTCCATTTGTCATTAAATAAACCACAAGCTTGGTCAAAGTATACATTATTCACAAGGAGGAAACTTCAGAAAGCCTGAATATTCTACTGAGCCAGCAGCAATTGTTAAATACAGAGCTTCCATTCTGACACTGTGCCATGCCACTTCATTGACAGGAAAATGTCATTGCTATCACCAGTAAAATGTGAAAATGTTTTCATGACCTTAATCCAGATGATAAGCATACCAGTGTAGAAAGATTTGGTTTAACCGCAGCTTAAGAAAACAAACATGTGTGTTCTTAACTGATGAAACATGAAACCTTTGATCTAAAATACCTTTTCAGCATCTCCACATCCCAATAAAAAAGAACGGAATTTCACAAAACTGCCACATCTTTGAAATGTTTAAGCTGTGAACTGGTTGTCAATCACTGACTACACTGATTGACTAGCTTGTTGTACCGTCTTGACAAAAATTGTTCTCACATCTACCCATCTTTGCCAGAGGTCTAGCTGCACTTGAAATTGAATTCAAACAAAAAGGTAAACAGAGTAATTGGCATCCGACATTGTATAACTTTCTGTGGTTTCAGCTGTTAATTGGAATGACAACAGTTTTCTAAAACAGAAAGACAAAACACCACACCATTGTGTCCCTACGCATCCCTACAGACAGTTATAAACACCAAGAAAATTTGCCTCTCAGAACAGGTGAAATTTACTGCCAGACACGAGGAGACATGCTCTGCTTTCCGCAATAAAATCACCTCCCTCCAAACAGGCAGAAAGCTTTTCATGAATATGCACGACTAATTTTAGCTCTAACTGGTTTAATTACTTGGGTTTCTTTGATTATTTGAACTGACAGGCCTAGCATGATATTTCTGTAATCACCGGCAGATGTCCAACACACTCTTTCATTCCCACAATCATTAATTTCACCCCATAACAACTCTCTCCCACTTTTTAAGCAGTCAAGACTTGTTTGAATCATTCAAGGCAATACTGTACAAGTATAAATTTTTGTGAGCACACTCACTTTACTTGTGTGAAAAGTATAAATTTAAAAGGTAACATACCCTGGCTCGGCGTTTTTCAGATTTTCGTTTCTTTCCATTTATTCCATTTTCCATACTTCGCTTGGAACTTTTATGTGATCGACGTCCATCTATAAGTATTTCTGGTTTGCTTGGACCCCTCGACTAGGAAGTAATGATCAGACATAAGTACAAAAAGCAGCTTGACAGGATTTTTTTACTTAAACAAGATCACTTGGATCCACCAAAGAACCACTGAAAATCAACAAGCTATTTCCAATCTCAGATTGAACGAGTTCCATGGATGACTGTTGTAAGTGTCTCCAAACCTAATAATAATACTCAGATTATTGATCCTGTGCACAGAAGACTTGCATTTCCTTGATCTGGTGTCATTATTTAATTATACATAGACAAATGAAAATGCCCACGAATGGATCTTTGTCACTGTCACATGAAAACAGAGTCTTCTTGTTTGCAACCAGAAGACATAACTCTTAATACATTTGAAGTTGATTAATATTGAATAAGCCTACAAGGAGACCAACATTAAACCAAATCCACAGGCTATCTGGCATCATACAGAACCAAAAGGGGAAAAATAAAAACAAACCAAACAGTGAACTACTGTAGCAAGAGCAGAGAATTTCACTAGCTGTTGCAAACTGTCTTTCTCTCCACTATTTGGTGCTAAAGATATCATTTTGGCTTATTAGCATCTCACATCGCAACAGACAGTTGAGAGTACAGAGAAATTTTTAACTGTTAGATATAAATAGCAATGGGCAGTACACAATGCAAAACTGAAAGTTTATACTTATCAAACCACTTTATGTGATAGTGTATCTAGTTTTTGTCAAGACTTGAAAATATATTGAGCACGAATTTTGACAAAGAGTAGCCATAAACCGACTTTGAATTTAATAGAAATGTCTTGGTCTACTTTTCAAAATCTTGTCAAATGGACAAAAGCATTAACTGTCGAGTAGACACTGCTTTGAACCACTCGCATGTTTCATCGCACGAGTCATTGCCACAGAAACCAAGTGTAGTGGCAATTCTTTTCAAGATGGGTTCCCGTAAGCCAACACTCGACATCTCTCAATAGAAAGACAGATATATTGCTCTGGAACCTGGGGATATTGTTCCTTCTACAAACAAGGAAAGTCCTCGGGGACACTAAAACACACACAAGTGGCAAAAAGGTACAAAATTAAACAAAGCTGATTTAACAAGGAGAAAACAGTGTTGTCGAGATTTCCAGTGCGAATCGATAAACCATTGAAAAAACGTTCTAAGTTTTACTCTAAGCTTATTTTACGGAACACCACAAACACAACGCAGTTGGTTTTCTCTTGGCATTTAAACTTAAATACAATCGAACTGCATTTGTAATGATTATGTTTTCTTACAACAGCATATAAGTTAGAAAATACGTGCGAAAGAGGTGGGAAAATTTTTAATGTATGGTTTTTTCAGTGCCCTTGGGAATTGCTAACGCTTCGGTTGTTCGAAGCACCGATCACGCTTTAAAATTGGCCTCAACTTTGGAGCCTGGCAAAAGGCCACAAGGAAACGCAAATTCTGTATGAAAACAACATGGCCACGGTTCTGAAAATAACAGAAGTTCAGCTAACAAGCGAGGAATGTTTGTTAATAACTTAATCCAATCATCTGCGAGAGTTTGGCTGTGATCGTTCTAGTTTAATCGCTGAATATTTAATACTCCTTATGGCAAGATGTTTTACCCCAATACTGAAATTTAAAGAGGGTTCGAAAGCCTCTTTTCACCTGAGTAACCGAATGAATGCACTCTCGAGATATTTGTCGGTTCTAAAACATCAGCATTTCCTTGTCGAATTAGGAGGTTTATTCGGGGCCACGAAGTGTGGTCAAAACATACAAGCCCGTTAGCTTCTCCCAGCTTGAACGTAAATTGCAAGGTACGCGGCTTTAGTGGCTTTGTGAAGAATGCCGGAAGGAAAGAACACATGTAGACCAAACGAAAGAAGCGATCAGCCATGTTTTAAGAGATAACAATGCCCGTACTTTGAGCACAATTTTTTGTTAGCACGCGAAAATGGCCTCCTTAGGCAATCGAGAATCATTTGTGGTCTGCTCGAGGTTTACTTGGTAAATTACAAGCCCAAGTATATCACTTAGTAACAATGATACCGAGCCGACTACAGCACGTAGGAAATTGTTCATGCGTAGCTTTTATATATTTAGCGTTGATATCTCCTTGAAAATCTCTCCAAGAACACCTCTTAAAATCGGCACGAAGACAGAATGGGGTCGTTGAAAGACAAACGCTACGCGCACTCGCTCGTACGCAAAATTGCAGCGAATTGCCTTCGAAGGGCCGCGATTAGTTATCCCTCCTCAAACTTGAACGAAACAGGGCTTTAGCTAGGCATTAGTGATCAATTGAAAATTTGACATTTATGGCTGTAGGAAGTTCTTGAGGCTGAAGCTCGAGTGAATTGTTGCGAAAAGTAAACATTGTACGGTCTCCGTTCTAGACGCCCTCTGTACACAAAATGGCTACAGCACGAATATTTTCAAAACAACCGAACGCATCAATCAAATCCAGAACTTCCAAAACATGTTTGGTTCATCTGCCAACGTAAAAATGCCCTTCAACCAAGTCGGTCTCACTTTGTGATGAAGTGTTTGTCACACTGCGACAGAGAGAGAGAACCGTTCAGCGCGACCTGTTACTGTTAATCGTTTGATAAAGAAGGCCGCAAATAATTACTATTTCTGCCTACCTCCAGCGCTTCCAATGAGGAATACGACGAAATGGCAAATCCGTCGATGATGTCCTCTTCAGGCGACGTAGAACCTCGCCGTTTGCGATGAGTTTTATTTCGGCTTTTGCCATTTGAGTTGATGGCCGCGTGCGACTCATTGCCGACGTCCATTCCCACTACTTCACCGTTCTCGGTGGCTTTTCCATCCTCGTCGCTCTGCGTTGCTTTTTTAACTTCCTCATCTTTCATTTTCACCTCCTCTGTTACATTATAAGCCCTCAAGCCTCTTGTGCGGTCGTGAAAAGCGTCCCAAACTCCTTGATTCTGGTCAGCTGTGCTGGAGCTAGTATACAGAGCGAAGTCAACGAGTAGAAAGTGAGTGAACTGAGCCGAGTGCAGTTGACAATATCAGCAAGGTGCTATTAAAATATCGTAAGGGAGGGGAGGTAGCGTCAAAACTACGACTGCGATTGCTTTCTTTAGATTAGCCAATACTATTTATTTACGTATTCCTGGAATCAATGCATAGGTGCTTGGTAAGATAATGTCTTTATATTATGAAAAAAAAATGCATATTTCTGTTCATTCTGATGGTTTAAATTAAAGAGTAAACCGGTCCCCGGAGAGTAACAAAATGGTTTTCCCTCAAGCATGACAGACAGCCCGGTGTGAGCCCGCCCCCTTTGTTTCACGGACCAGAGTTCTGCGGTTTGAAGGTCACAAGAAAGACACTTTTTTTCTCGTAAATGGGCCTTCCGGTATCCTTTCCACACTTACGACAAAATGAGAATGTTACAGGACCGCGAATTCCCCCTTCAGAAACTGTCCATGACGCCTCAGTCGTGACGCCCGTCTGCTTCAAGCGATGTCCGCAAGCGCAAAGCAATTAATTAAAAGCAACTTCTCAGCTGTATTTGTATCTGTCATTCGTCCAAGATACCAACTATTTAAACATCCGTTCGGGAACAAGCTTGAGTGAAATTTTACAAAAGAAAACGTACCGGTCAAGATCAATGAAAAAGATCACTCAAGACCGAGGGAAAATTCAGTTGCTCACTCCTCGAAGGAACAGCGTTTAAAATGTCTCTTCCTTCTGTCCGTCATCTTCTATTTCCAGTCCGGAAACCATTGGAAGAACCAAGGGCCCCGAAATTGACAAATTTGGATATGTTATTTCATAAAGGCTAATTGCAAGACAATTTGAATCCAAAACAGTTTTAGTTTCACACTCAGCAAGTAATTATACGGAAGGCTATTAATTTTTATGCTCGGCAGTCAAACTGAATGCACACAAACAAGCGTCACATTTTGAAATAATGTTAATGATCCTGTTCTCTTAGCGTGACTCATTGAAAACCCATCATTTCCCCCCAGAAGAAAATGCCGACAGTGAATTGGTTTCGCTTCGATAGTAATTTCAAAACCAAACTTACAACATATAGATCACACATTACAATTTCGGAGGTGATATTTATTTAAGAACCGCCTAAAATTCTACGTTATCGATTAGTTTTGGCTACGTAGCGCGGATAAGCCGTAGATAAGACACCAACTTTCTTGACTGGCAAAGACAGATAAGCAATAGGTAATGCGTTCATATATATAGCTTATACGCGAAAGATCGCCAAATCCGATCTCTTTACTGATAAAATCTGAAGCGATACTATAGAAGCCCAGGAAAGCTTATGTGGGCTACAAACATTTTAAGCACCCAGTTCAGTTTATTACAATTTTGTTCTAGCGCCGGAGAGAAAGTAGATTATGAAACCGAAAGCCGCGCAGCTAAATCATGGTCAAGTCATTTTCTCCTCCGTCCTTCAGCATGCGACACGCAAATCCTCTCATTGGGTTCTGTTAGTCTTTTAATGTAATGAGTTTGCGATCGGCCAAAACAATATTGCGCCCTACAATTTGCTTATAGTTCTATTTGTCGAAAGCAAACACATCGAAAATGAGCTCGTCCGGTTCATTTTCCGTGGTGAAGTACATTTCACTTTTGTCAGTGGCGAATTGATTGATGAGGCCTTCGATAAAAGTGATAAACTCGACTGAAAGCCCCTGAAGAAAAGGAAAAATTAGAAGGTCGCTTTGAATTGAATATTTTAACGCCTGTAATCGCGTTTAATTGGGGAGGGTTGGTGGAAAATTAAATGCTTTATTCAGAAAGAAAGTTCGACTATTCGTAGTAGCAAACTCAAAAATTTGGCCGGCAATTTTGGCGGCCCCTCAAGAGCGGTTACCTTTCGGTCCAGCCCAATCTCTCGCAAAGGACGAAAATAAACGAGTTGGTGAACTAACAGCTTGAAAAAATACGTTCTTTCGCTATTTTCAAACTGCGCCAGGCGACAAATTTCAGTTCCGCATTTCTCTCAGAGCGCAAAGTGCTGTGCTAATGATTTTTTCGCATCGTCGCTAAAACACAGGGGGCTTTTCTCACAAGTTTTACCTGGTTTTACTGCTGCCGACACGAGCGAAATTGAAAACCGCCGTTTCATGACATCAATGGCCAAAACGTGATGTTGCCTATCTGTTATCGGGAAACATTGCTTTGAATATATTGTGAAACAGTGTTAATTAGAAAATTGAACACCGGAAACCTTTAAAACACACTCCAGCTGAGGCAAAAAAGTCATTTATTGTGCAGTCTGCAGTCGTGAAATTATACCATCCTTTCTAGTGTTTCATTTCTTTAATCTTCCGCAAGATAAATTAAAAATTTTGCTTTTATGATCTTCAAGGATTAAGTTATAGCTTTGGTAATACCTCTAGTGTTATACTACACAAAGTCCTGATAATTCCCGTATCAACCGATACAACTGGTCCACGGACTACATCTGCCCTCCGTCGCATTACAGTTGTCTGAGAAACCGTACTAAACTGCAATCTAATAGTCCATATTTCCCCTAGGTATCACTAACCAACATTTTCCTTTTGTTTGCAGATCTGAAACATTGAAACTTTTTGTACTGGTGAATATTTCTCTACTTACAGAAGACTTTTGTCGCCCGTTTAGCCGTAATTTACGTCAGGCAATCACTTCAATGAACCAATAAGAACATACAACATTGTCAGTACTCGATCTCTCAAGCTGCCAAAAAAATTCGTGAATGATGTTTTAAGTATAAATGAAAAAGTTCAAATTGACTGAGTTAAAAGTGCAGACACCGTTTGAATTAAATGAAACGCGATTTGTTTCCAAAGCGGATGTTTCAAGCCTAGCCTTCGGTTGCTAAGCTTCTATTGCCGAGGTTTGGCAGAGTCAAAGAGTGTTTGATCAGTTAACTTCCATTGTCAATTGTCCGAAGCATTCTTCTTTAGAATATGATTATTATTATTGTTGTTACTTCAGGGGTAATTTTTCAGTTCCACGAAGACTAAAAAATTTGCTCGGCGGCAATCGCGTAAGTGGCTCCGAGTAAAACAGGGAATATCAGTTGCAGTTATCAATCGAAGAATGAATTGACGGCCGTACGAGAAGTTAATTCAAATAATGTAAAAAGCCTGAACGTACTTTATCGGCGGTTTCTTACAAGTTTCGCTAAGCCTGTTAATTCTGCATTATACACATTTTTCCCAAAAAAATCAATTTAAGAATGACGTCTTAAAAGGAAAGTTTAATATCTGATATTTGCAGATGTGTTGAAGAGATTAAAACTATAGTTTTGAAATGCTAATTCTTGGCTCTTTTAAAGCGTTGTTGTGTTGTTGGAAGCCATTAATATTTAAGAAGTTTCCTCGGTATCTCTCATTTAAAATACTGCCTCAAACAAACTGTGATAAGTTTTTATTTATCAAAAAATAAATTAGATGAAGTTTTCAATGTTAAAAAACCCGACTAATTTAAATAAATGTTCCCACATCAGTTAAATTAAAACGAACCACAAATATATACAAAGAATAAGGCAGCTGACGAGTGAGTTCTATTATACTGATGTTACATATATTTTGATGAATAATTTTTTTGCACACTGGAAAGACGCACGGCTGATTGTGTTCAACAGAATTCCGAAATGCCAAAAAGAGCTACTCAAATTTTCCGATTGAAAGTAGTGCAACATCTGTTTTATCGTTTCTAATTCAGTCGTTCAAACAGATTAACACTTTTGAAATGAATTCCAGGTATTAAAACCTGAAACACAGTCAGTCTCCCTTGAAATGGCTTTTAAAAGTGTAAGAATTCCTCGCCGCAAAAATGTTGAAACTTTTCAATTTTACTTGACATTTAGGAACAGCAAGTACACTCTTAAAAAACCTACATCTGATGATCAAGTACCTGACTTAGATTTTGAAATCAATTTCGGACATTATATTTCTAATTGCAAATATGCCTCAGTGATAGGACAGGACTTGTATAACGAAAGGATACCCCCAGTTGTGTTTACTTTGAGTTCTCAATCGACGGATAGAGGGGTGTCAATAAAATGACTGCAAGCCATAACATTGCATATTCTTAGAGACATTAGGGATTTATGCGAGTTATTTTCTGATATCTGGCCAAATAAATAAGCGGAAATGACCATCAAAGCCGTCAGAACATGGGGTGTAAATTTACGCGGTTTACGAAGGTTTCTGACAAGGCCTCACAGAACTAATATAATTATTGTTTACACAGCCCTAATCTGCATGATTAACGAAACACTTCGGAATTGGAAAAATGTTAACATCTTTTTTAAACAAACACTTGAGATATATTCGAGTTGTCAAGACGAATCACGTAAGGTAACTGTACTTGCCGGGGTTTCTTTTTAACACTGATAAACTATTCAACAGATTTTGTTTTGCAAAACACTAAAGAAGAAAAAGTACTTCTCAATGGCTTTAAAATGAATGGTCGCACTAAAGGCTCACTGAAGGGTTTCGTTCACAGAATAAGGTTACAATTGCAATCACTGACAAATATGCATCATAATCATGATTGCAAGAGGATGTAGTCTCTAAAAGCTGCTTAGGGTTTGCCAGTTTCAAAGCTAACACATATTCAGAAATTTCAGTTTAGAATATTGAAAAAGAAAATAAGATTAGCGGCACCACAAGAAACTACTACTCTACAGGATTCATCCTGAATGGTCATTCAATGCTAGGGTTTCATCCACAATGGCTGTTAACATGCTTAGAACTACTCAGTCACAAGAAAGCACTGCTCAGTAGCTTTCATTTGAATGATCACTCATTGTCATGGAGTTTCATCAAAAGACCACATGTTAAAAGCACTTTGTACAGCACGTTACACAAACAGTACCACTTTTAAACATAAAGTACTGCTCGATAGCTTTCAAATCCACAGCTGACTTAAGAATTTGAACCACTGTACAGCGCAACAAACAGTACCAAATAAAAGTACTGTTCGATGGCTTTCAAATGAAAGCCTAAACACTAAACCAGGTTCCATATAGGCCAGAGTTAGAACCACCTTGTCTAGCATGATGGAAGTTAGGTTTCCATTCATCCTCACAGAAATCAGTGAAACTGAGTTAGGGCACGAATCTCTGTGGCTTCTTTCCAAGGAAAGTGATCGAAAACATGTTCAGCTCCACCGGTCTTTACTCTTTTAGTAATTTCAAAGAGTATTTACACCATATTTTTCTTTACTATGCATTCTTCAAGGAGTCAGGTGAAGGGAACAGTACACTTTTTGCCTCGTACTACTAGCTAATGGAGCATGGGACAAAACTACGAAATTGAAAGCAAGCTCCGTCTAGTTCCGTGTCGCCCCTCCAAATCAATCATAACCGGCCTCAGAAGCTTAGTTCGTAGAATCATTGTTGCTATCATTCATTCAGTTGTATTAGATGATCGAGATGAGAGTACAAGAAACTGCAAATCGAAAGAGAATTTTTTATATTACAAGTAAAAAGAAAAGCCGCTGTATTAAGAAACGTGTCAAAGGAATGTGGATACAATGCTTCATTACACGACAGGTTGAAAGCACTGCCACCAAAACAAATTTGACTGAGATGC